TCCATTTCCGCCAATTCTTTACAAAGTTTACCCATAAGTGTGTAGAACTCGTCGGCAGAAGACGTGCGCAGAATTGTTCTGCAATAAAATCACAATTGAAAAAAGACTGGCTTTTTTGTGAGAGCTGAATCCTGATATTTGTAGTGAGTCAGGACGTTTTCGTACATTTGCAAGAAACTCTCCCAAATTCTGATGTGCGAAGAAATTTACCTGCTCATTTTTGACCACAAAGCAATAGCGGTTCGAAGAAGAACTTCAGATCCCTGCAACATCAGGGCGTCCCAAACTCGCATCACGCAGTCTCGTGGTAAGCATGTGGAGAAGAGTGTGAGGAACCAATGCATGGAGAAGATATTGGGGAGTGGCGGTTCGTATTCATTTTCTAAATTCGCGAACTTTATTGGTTTTGTTGGTTTCAGTAAAACCCAAAGTACTGATATCACCACAAACTCACTTGGCACGAATTCTTTTGCACTAAAACTAACTTAACTAAAAGTAACTTAAGACCGACATTCACGAACAAAAGGCATGTTTTCTTTTAGCGTAACATTAGAGAGTTGTGTCCACTAATGAGGTGATTTATGCTCAGAAATTTACGGCCATAAGTCACACAGGTTCAAATAGATATAGTGACCGCAGTCTTTAGCGCTTCATTATAGGGGACGCCAGCAAAGCTGTTGCAAGTATCATAAAATGCGTGAGAAGAGGTGTTAAAAACTACACAAAACGGTCTACTAATAAGGCGGAACAAGGCGCTTAAAGGAATCTTCCACGGAAAGACTGCTTATCCTTTCCTTGTGTACAGGTGTTGGGCATGGTCATTGAAGACCATATGCAAAGTTCAGAGCGAAAATGATGAAACCCCCAAGAGAAACAGCCCTTGGAAAGACCCATCTGTGGGACCGGATTGGACCAGTAGGCGGGACCGGAAGTGCTTCTGTGACGAAGTGCGTGGCAGGTGCGGATCCACGTGTCAGTTTATGGGAAGGGCCCAACATGAATCCAGTTCACGTTCACGCTTTTGACACGTTTGCACGTGTTGACTCCACGCCGCTAACAGTTGTGGAAGTTTTACAGCGGGAATTCAAAATTTTCATAGTCGAACTGGTTATCATAATTATTATCAAAACCATCGCCTATGTTCCGTTCTTTTTGCTATCTTCATGAAGCAAGGGGCCTAAGGTATCGTTTTTTGTAGGAATGGAGGCGATGTTTTTCCGTGGAAGATTCCTTTAAATCTCAACAGTGAGCGCTATGACTGCTGGGTAACAATTGGGGCTCAGAAGCAGATACTTGGGCGAAATCGTTTGGAGCCGGAGAGGAGGTGTTGCTCGTACGCCCATTCCTCCACAGCCATGTTTGACCCCAGTTTTAGGAAATTGGGGAGTCGGTCGGAAATACGGACGTAAATCGTACCATACATTGTAGTTGCTTTATAACACGCTTTTTAATGAGAGGATAAGCCGTGGGTAAGAAAGGCAAATAACGGACTCGTTGAAGGACAAAGCGCCAATATTCACGAGACCAAATCAGCCTAGAATTATTTCACAAGAATGCTGGGTTGTGAACAAAACTTTCGCCCCAGGACGGGACTCGAACCCGCACCTCTTGCTTTACCGGGCAAGTGCGCTACAAGTTACGCTACCGGGGCGAAATTTACCGCAAGGCGAACTGCGGCCAAAAACAGCAGTTAACAAACAAAAACAAGCCTAGAAATAATTTCAGATTCCATTTAGTACCTGAAAAACTCTGCAGTGTCTCGAGGTGCTGAATCGTGGTTGGTAAGCGTTGAAGCATCAAATCTTTCATAACAATCATATCCACAGAGAGAGCTCCCAATGATTGGTCGAAATAGCCTTCAGGCATCACGTGTTCGATCAGGAAGATCATGATCTGAATAGATGAATCATTAGATGAGTGGAGGAAGAGACGAATTAGTAGACGAAATTCAATAGGAGTCACACCTTCAGTGCTTCATCCGTGCGATACTCAACCACTTGAAGAATCAAAGCAGCAATCACATTGAAACCTTGGCAGTATCCAACAGCCTTGTTGAACCTCAACAAACGAAATCGATCTATTGTAGAATCTAGAAGATAGCGAATGGAATCGCAAGATTTTGGGGGAAGGAAAGGAGCGGGCATTACACACGCTGAGACCTTGGAAAACATTCAT